GCCGGAGGCCCGCCCCCGCGGCCCTGCGCCCCCAGGCCCGCTCACCACTGGGCAGGAAGGGGTTGGACGCCTTGGCTCCTGGTGGCGTCGGGCCCGGCCGGCTCACCAGCGAGTCCAGGTCCACGAGGGCGGCATTGGGGCCCAGGAAGGACTCGGGAGTCTTCCGCGTGGGGGCAGCGGGGGCTGGCGCAGCAGCGGCTGGGGGGCTCCCCACAGCCTCGGCCAGCGAGCCCCCGACGCCGCTCATGTCGAACGCGCCCGGGCTGCGGGCGGGCACCTCGCCGGCCAGCAGCTCCAGCTCCCCTGCGAGGGGCAGGAAAGGCCGGGAGGGGCTCAGCGGCCGAGCCTGCCCGCAGGGCAAGCAGCCCGGCGCCCCGCCCCCCGGGGAGGCCGCGGGGCCTACCTGTGCTGCTCCCCGACGTCGGCAGGGCCGTCCGCAGGCGGTCGAAGTCCGAGAACTCGTCAGGGTCCGTGTCAAACCCGACAGCTGTGGGCGGCGGGCGGCTCAGCCCCCTCTCGGCAGCGGGGTGCCCCGCCCCCCGCCCCACCTACCTGCAGTGCCGTTGGTGCTGGGCTTGGCGGGTGAGCCCCCCCACGGGTCCGAGAAGGCTGGGGCCGGGGCCCAGGGGTCAGGAGCTGGGGGTGCGCCCGCCGGGGCCCCACCTGGGATGGGGAGGCGGCGCATGACAGGCCGCCTGGGGTTGGCGGCTGACCTGCAGCCCGAGCCCCCCAAGGCCGCGCGGCCCCAGCGGGCGGGGCACGCGGGCTGCCCCTCACCCATGGGTCCCGCGACAAGACGTTGAGGTGACTGGGAAAGGCCCCCCACAGCCCAGCCCCTCTCACACCCGCTGTGGGCTCCCCAGCCCCGGCCGGTGGCAGGGCCGCCCTGGCCCCCACTCACCTTCTGCGTTCCCCCACGGGTCGGCCGTGGGCCCCTCTCCCGCAGCCGGTGCCTGGGCTCCACCCCAAGGGTCCACTGGGGGCGCCGCAGGAGCAGCGGGCCTCCAGGGGTCCCCCGAGGCCGGTGTGGGGGCCGGGCCCCCCCAGGGGTCAGTGGTGGTAGGGGCAGGAGTCC